ATGTATTGTGAAATGGAACAGTATTTCCCTAAATTTAATACCCCAGCTGATACATTTAAAGTGAAATGTACTAGCTTCTTGGCTTTGACTGCTGGTGCAAGTTTGGGTCCCATTTTCTTTGCCATGACCCAAGGATAGAAAGCTGGAAGGTTTCCAGAACATCACAGATTCTGTGATTGTCTCCAGATTTCCTGCAGTATTCAGGAATAGAGTATTCAGTATTCCTGCAGTATTCACAGAGATAGCTCAAGTACTCAACTAACCTCTGTTAGAACTGAAGGAAATTTGATGGTATAAACTATGCACCGTTTAGTCGTCTGTGTTATAAATTCAGTTATGTGTTTCTCAGGGTTTTTGGCAAGGATTTCAAGCTCTAAACAGACTCTCTCTGTGATTCTTATTTTCCTGCCCTTTTTAGGAATGATGTTTTTTATTTGGCACCTGACCCTGAAGAGTACATTCTTGCTGGTTCCCCCATTCTTACCCTCTACTTCTATTGGTATTTAATTATTCAAATACTGATATTTAATTAGGTTTCTAGAGGAAGTAGGCCTTTCTTGTCGTAGTTAACCCCTAATGGCGAAAACAGCTCAATGCACAACTCCTTCATTCATTCCCATTATGATCCAGGAACTGAGCTAGGTGCTCCGAACAAAACTGTAAACAAGACAAGTCTCTCCTTTAATTGAACTGCCATTCTGCTCAAAGAGACAGCCAAACAAAAATTAAGTCAAAGCAACTTGACTGGTGTTCCCACCACTATTCTAGGATATTTTTTTTTGCATGTTTTCTCTCTGAGGACTTTCATAGAAACCTGGATGCAGTCCTACGGTAATTAAGCTCTGTCTGGGCTCTGAGTCAGAAAGTCTCAGGTCTACTGGCTCTACCGCTTCAAGCTGGGTGACCAAGTTGCCTGACCTTTCTATGTCTCAATTCCTTCATTTGTAAAATGGGGATAATAATAATAGATGTCTTGTGAGGATTAAAGGCTTAGTACAGAATCCCCACATAATAATAACTCAGTTAATGTTTGCCACTCTTCTTCTTTTCTGTATATACTACTCCTTGCCCATTTTTTCCCAAAGCACCCTTTTCTAGTGCACAGCCACCCCCTTTCCCACTCCTATGAAAATGATAGTGGGAGAAACTTAATGTTGGGAAATTTCTGGTTTTCCACAATTTTTTTCCTGGAAATTGGAGAGACTCTCAGTAGATTCCCTAGGCTCAGCTCACAGAATTACAGTTTGTCCTTGGAACATATATTATTCACACGTTTGAATACACTTAACTACTTTTTATAGAACTCCTCCTTTGCCCGAAGGTGGTTTTGTAGTTTAGCATAACTTTAGAGCAGGGGTACTGTAGGACACACCTGTCACCTAGAAGCTAATAACTAAACAGCCATTTGATTATTGGAGGCCCGCACATTTTACTGATGGTAGATTTAACATGACATATTCCTCTTTGATGGTTCTGTAGTCCTACAAACCTGGGAAGATGTGTGATGTCAACATAAGACCTGGGTTCAGGAGAGCAAGGAGGGCATCTCTTTTGCTTTCTCTACAGTACCCGGCACAGCACCCAGTTAGTTCCCTGGCATATAATAGAAGCTCAATCAACACTACTTGGCAGATGTGTGATAATGGGCAAGTTACTTAACTCTTTGAGCCTCAATAGTAAATAAATACTAATCCACTTGGAAGGGTTTGTATAAGGAGAAAAAGAACTAATTAGTAAAGCCCCACTCAGTGCCTGACACATGGCAGTTGGTTCTCTTCTTGTATATTTCCTACCCTTCCTACCCGCCCCCCCACCCCCAAATTTGAGACAGGGACTTTGTCTGCCCAATGCCTAGCACGGGATCTTTTTTTTTTTGGCTGCGTCGGGTCTTCATAGCTTTGTGCGGACTTTCTCTAGTTGTGGTGAGTGGAGCTACTCTTAGTTGCAGTGTGCGGGCTTCTCATTGTTGTGGCTTCTCTTGTTGTGCGGGCTTCAGTAGTTGTGGCACGCCAGCTCCGTAGTTGTGGCTCGCAGGCTCTAGAGCACAGGCTCAGTAGTTGTGGCGCATGGGCTTACTTTGCTCCACGGCGTGTGGGATCTTCCCAGACCAGGGCTTGAACCCATGTCCCCTGCGTTGGCTGGCGGACTCTTAACCACTGTTCCACCAGAGAAGTCCTAGCACAGGATCTTATGCATAGTGATAGCCTCAATTTATTCAGTCATTCAGTGAATCTTTACACATCAAAAGTGAACAAAAGCTTAAAGTTGAGAGAGAGCAGGTACATTCAGGAACCCCAAGTAATTGATTATGACTGAAGCAGAGGCTTCGAGGAGAAAATGAGAAAGAGCTAGAATGGTTAGCCCAGATTAGCTCTCAAGGAGCTTTGTAGGTCTTATATGAATTTTGGACTCTATCCTGTAAGGCAGAGGATTGCCACTAAACCAAGGAGTGGCAGAAAGTTTTTTGTTTTTTTTTTTTTGGCCTTGCCATGCGGCATGTGGGATCTTAGTTCCCTGACCAGGGATCGAACCCGTGCCCCCTGCAGTGGAAGCACACAGCCCTAACCACTAGACCACCAGGGTATTCCCAGAAACTTCTTTTATTTTGTTTTTATTTTAGAATGGTTTGTGGTTCTCGGGCTTTAGTGTGTTTAAGAATCACCAGCGGGGGCTTCCCTGGTGGTGCAGTGGTTGAGAGTCCGCCTGCCGATGCAGGGGACACGGGTTCGTGCCCCGGTCCGGGAAGATCCCACATGCCGCAGAGCGGCTGGGCCCGTGAGCCATGGCCGCTGAGCCTGCGCGTCCGGAGCCTGTGCTCCGCAACGGAAGAGGCCACGGCAGTGAGAGGCCCGCGTACCGCAAAAAAAAAAAAAAGAATCACCAAGGAAGCTTGTTAAAAAAGAGGGATCCCAGAGCCACACTGTCCGAGAATAGAGAATATGCATTTAAACCAGCACGTTAGGGACCCCCTTCGGGGGGCCAGTGGTGAAGACTCCCTGCTTCCACTGCAGGGGGCACAGGTTCAATCTCTGGTCAGGGAACTAAGATCCCACATGCTGTGTGGCGTGGCCAAAAACAAAAACAAACAAAAACCCCGGCACCTTAGATGATTCTGATTCATTTAAATATTCAGACACAATTGCGACATACCTTAAAAACAAAAGATCAGTAGCTCTGGGGAAACCTGACTTGAAGTTAGGCTTCCACTCCCTCTCCTGATCAATCTGCCTTTCTTGGCCTGTCCTACAATTAGGCCTTAAGCCTCCTCTTCCCCACGGTGGACCAGCTGGAAGCCCAGCAAATGGAGCAGAGCCCAAAGACTGGACAGTGGCTGCAGAGAAGTAGACAGATTTGACAGGTATTTAAAAGGTGGAATTGAGCAGACTTGGAGATTGACTGTATGGGGAGTGTGTGAAGGGGTCAAGGATGCCCCTTGGCTTTCTGGCTTGGAGCAATTTGTTGTTGTTGTGTTTTTTTGTTTGTTTTTTGAGCTGTGCAACACAGCATGCGGGATCTCAGTCCTACAGTGGAAGCGTGGAGTCTTAACCAATGGACCACCAGGGAAGTCCCTGGAGCAATGTTATAATGGTGTGTCATACAGTCAGTGACCGGGCCGCTTGAAAGAGAGGGGCAGGTCTGAGAAGTAAATTGAGGAATTTTAGTTGAGATTTGCTGAGTTTGAGGTGCCTCTCGGACATCCAAGTGGAGATGTTCAGAAGTCAGTTGGATTTATAGGCTCGAAATTCAGAGAAAGGTCTGGACTAGAAATCTGGACCTGAGAATCATTAGCAAATAGATGGTAATAGGAGTGGGGTGAAGTCATTTCAGGAGAGGGGATAGAATGGGAAGAGAAACCGGTCCAGAACAAAACCCAAGGAACATTTAAGGGAAGGGCTGAGAAAGAAAGAAATTGCAAAGGGATCAAGGACAGGCCAGAGTCATAGCCCCAAGTCACAGGGAGGGAGTTCAAGAGGAGTGACGAACTGGGAAGCATCCTGGACTCAGCAAAGAAGTCTGCGGTGACCTTGTAGAGAGCAGTTTTAGTGGAACCAGGCACCAGATTGCAGTGCGTTGAGGAGTAAGTGGGAGGTGAGGGAGTGGAGACAGCTGGCGTGCACATTTTTTTCAAGATATTTGGCCAAGAATGGAGAGAGATACGGTGGTAACTTCAGAAGGAAGTAGAATTGAGAGTCTTTTTCTACGGTAACGGCTAATGTGCAAGTGGAAGAAAATAAAGGACATAATCAATAAAACCTACCGAGAGGAGTGGGAGACATCCACGGCACAGATGTTAGGACTGTGCTTAAGCCAAGAGGGACCTACTTCTATTTCTGAACGGATGTAAGGAGGAAGTGATCGATTGGTTTGGAAGCTTGATATCGGGTGCTTCTCTCTGATGGATTTTGCTTCCTCTAGGAGGTTGGCAGCCAGGCAATGAGTAAGGAGTTTGTAGGATGAACCTTTTTCCTCAGCTAGTCAAAGTACAGGGTTTCCAGCAGGACGGAAGTAGTCACGGCACTAAGGCAAGAGCCTGGTGGGAAGCGGGTTGAGGCTGAAGCTTTAAAATCCGAGGGAAGAGAGGCTGACTGAGAGGAAGTGTGATGTTCCTCTGACCCTGAGGAAAGCTGTATTTGGGCCACCGAATGAGAGGTTATTTTCCCAGAACCTCGTGCTGGGGCTTTGATTTAGGCTCCCCCTTCCTCGTCTAGTCAGTCTGTCTTCCCCGGCTTGTGTGTCACGTCTAGGCCTCAAGCCTCCCAGTCCCCAACGAGGACCAGCTGGAAGCCATTTTGATTAAGCTCCACCACAGAAGGAGGACAATACAGCCCCGCCCAGAGCCAGGCGCGCCCCCGCGACGGCCCGGGTGCGCGTGTCCGCGCCTCTTCCCGCCGGCCTGGCGGGCGCCGGGCCCACGCTGGGGTGGTGCGGGGCGGGGGGTGGCGGTGGTTATGTAAGCGTTGCGCGCTCCCGCGAGGCGGCAACCAATGAGGAGCCCCGGCGGCTCGGGCTCGCGCACGCACGATGGGGGGAGGGAGCGCACGACGTGCGCGCGCCCTCTCCCTCCTCCACCGCTGCCGCCTCCTTCTTCTGCCGCTCCTGGTGCTGCTTGTGTGCTCGTTCGGTGCGGACCTGGTACCTCTTTTGTGAAGCGGCAGCTGAGGAGACTCCGGCGCTCGCCATGGCCGACGAAAAGCCCAAGGTGAGCTCGGCGCCGTCCTCCGCGCCTCGCCGCGCGGCCGGGGTCACGGCGCGGGCCGGGGTCCGGCCCGAGCCCGCCGCGGGCTCCCCGCGCCTTCCCGGGCCCCCCACGGGGCGGCCGCGGCTCAGGCCCCGGCGCTCCGCGCCATTTTCTTCCCTCCCCTCTTCCTCCCTCCCGCGCGGGAGGAGGCCCCACCGCCCTCCCCCGCCCCCGGCCGCCTCGGAGTGCGCGCCGGGCGCGAGTTGGGCGGGCGAATCGCGGACACCCGCTGGCCCACCGGCCGCGAGCTGGGCTTCTTGGGCCCTGCTGGCCGGGCGCGCGTGACGAGGGGCGTTAGGGCGCGCGGTGTCCCCACCCTCGGCGGACCCCGCGCCGGGCCGCGGCGGGTGTTGCCGCCTTGGCGGTGGCGAGGAGTTACCTCCTCTCCGGGCTTCCCCCCTCCGGGGTGGGGGCCGCGGGCATCTGGGGACCCCTGCCCCGGGCCGCACTGGCCGGTTGAGGGTTCGGGGCGAATCAATGGGCTGCTGATGGGTTGGAAGCCGGATGCCCGTCGGCCGTCGTGAGGGGCCGGGGTTGGGGGATTCCCGGGGAGTATTTCCCACATTTTTTGTCGGAATGGGCAGTGGCTTTTCCCTGGGTGCGAAATAACCCCTAACCTGCCGAGACCATGTGGTTTCGAGAAGTTGGAGGCAGATGTACGAGCAGAGAGACTTCGTAGGGCTTAACTTTTCAACGCGGGTTTTGAGGCTCCAGGAGGCTTTTCCCTGGAGGACTCGGGTACACACTTCTTCCTGGCACACGGGACTTTCTTTTGGTTTGTTTTGTGACACCCCCCCCCCTTTCCATTCTGAAGTGGTTTAGGGGCTACAGAATTCCTTGTACACTTGATTTTGATGAACTTCAGATTGGGTCAAAATCTACAAGGAATTGTGGAATAAATCTACAAGGAATAAAACTGTGCGTTTGACTCATGACAACAAAGGGGAGGGGAGAATAAGCTCATAACTAAAAATAAACAAAAATGAAGCTGCTTATAGAGGCGAACAATAATAGTGGTTCTGAGTTATTACCGCTGCTTGGGAGAGAATCAAAGGATATTCCTCAATTAGGTGGTTTTTTGTTTTTTTTTTTTTAATGTAGCTTGAGATTTCTTACTAAGCTGAATTTGATAACTTTTTAATGAGATTTGTAATGAGTTTTGAATTTCAAGCTCTAGATTTTTCTTGCATTCTGTACTCAAAGCATTTTGGAAAGAGGAAGGATGCTTATTTTTAATCTTTTTAGAGGAAAGACATCTTGAGTGTAATACAATATATGTCATTAAAAAAAACTCAGATTCAAGAGGGCATTGCAGTAAATTGAGGGAGATCCATCTTTAAAAACCAATTGTTGACACTGATAGTATTGGATGTAGGCTGCTTTTCTGTTTCTGTGACATCTATTTAATATTGTTGCTTCAGGGTTTCTTATCTTTCAGATTGATTTCAGCAGCTGCAAACAGCTGTATGCTCTGTTATAAGAATGAGAAACCTGTTGATTTCTGAAGCACCTTGGGCTGCTGCTGCTTTAAAAGGTGTTTGTCCTTCACATTTTCCAAATTCTACTTTTATTTTTCTTTCAACAGGAAGGAGTCAAGACTGAGAACAACGATCATATTAATTTGAAGGTGGCGGGGCAGGATGGTTCTGTGGTGCAGTTTAAGATTAAGAGGCACACACCACTTAGTAAACTAATGAAAGCCTATTGTGAACGACAGGTGAGGAACTGACTTGTATACTTCCACTGAATAAAACGTATTTTAAAAAGACAAACCTTTTTTTCTTGAGAATAGAAACCAGCATAATATATCAATAGATTATCTTTGGTAGAATGAATATGTACTTATATACTTGATATATCACAATTTTATCATCCACTTGGTTTGTTGATTCTTCATAAAATCCCTTAGGGTGGTTAATATCACATATGATTCTAGTTCTATGCCAGAAATGCATCAAATTATTTTCACAACATGTGGTTTGTTCCCAAGGGGATGTAATTTTACTTTTATAAGAAAATAAGAACGAATTTGGTAAAATTTCTTGTCAGGCTCTTTTTTAACAATTAAAAATTTGTCTTGTGTCAAAACAATTTATTTCGGGTGTTTTAACCAGTTTGGAAGTAAATGTGGGTTTAAGGACACTGCCGTTTTCCTGAAGCATGTAAAACTGTAATAATTTCTTTTTACACTAATAGTAGAGGTCAAGAGATTTAACCTCCTGAGCCAAGCATACACATTCCTGTATTATAAGGATATTTGAATTTTACTCAGAAAATAGTAAATTTTTTACCTCAGAAGAGGAAGTAGAAATGAACAGATGCTGGGAGGTAAATGTAAACTTTAAGACAAAGAAGCTTCCTTTTGTGATGTTGAGTCTGTAACAATACAAAGGTAATTTTAAAGATGACTTTTGCAAGTATAACAGAAACTCTGGTAGATCAGTTAATCCAACAGTAACCTGGCAGAAGTATTTTTCTTGTTCAACCCTGGATGTATAATATATAAAAGTTTGGAAAATTATTTTATTAGACCAAAACAACTTGTCTACATTGCAAATTCACCTCCTAAAAAATAGGTTCAAAACAGAGTAAGGTTAAAACCTCTACAAGTTGGGAAATTGAGTTTGAGTTGATACTTGGGCCTTCTCCATGAGACTGAAGGGCTTCTTAAACTGAAGATTTAAACTTCTTTTTGAGTTTGAAGCTTTATTTTATGCCTAGTTTATTTATAACATAATAAGAGTACTGTGGTTATAATTTTTTATCTTCAAAAACTTTTTCATAGTTCCTTACAAAGATATGCCCTTCAGTGTACTTTCATTTGAAGAATTCTGGTGAAATCCCCTAATAGTTAGTAAATATGTACTTATTAATTGTGCTAAAGAATTTTTGCACTGGTATCTACCATATTTGAATACTAGTACTCCTTCAGGTTCCAGGGGAATTTTAAAAGGTAATCATTTTGTAGAATGTTTATGTAGCAAAACCTTATACAACATAGAAATTCATGCTTAGATTTGGTGACTTTCAACAAAATTCTCTGCATAGCCTAACTTTTCTCTAATTACTATTAAATTTTAGCTTTTAAATGGTCATATTTTTCAACACTGACTGAAAATTTTCGAACTTAGAGAAAAAAGTTTACATTGAATACCCATGAGTCTACTGCCTAGATTAACTGTTACCAATTTACTATATACATCTATTGATACTCTCTGTCCATCCTAAAATGGTCATATTTAAGACTTCCCATATTTCCTGTAGGGCCCCCAAAGGAGCTTTTTATCTTTTTTTTTTTTTTTTTTACCAGATGCCTATGTGCTGGGGCATTATACTGTGTGCCAGAAAAAGTAAGGCACATCCTGTGTATTCTAGATTATCCTTACAGGAAATTGTCTTATAAGATCTAGTTAGTGGGTCAATCAAGAATTTTTTAGTTTTCCTGCTATGTTAAAGTAAGTCTACTATATTACCCAGTGTGAATAAAGTTTTCCTGTATTTTTTTCAGTTATTAGGCATAAGATTGGGATTATATTTGACTAAACTTGTTGGGTCCACTCTTAACTTGCACTAGAGGAAAAAGAACGTTGGTAATCCATAAAAAATAGAATTCCACTGCATATCTGTTGGAATGCAAATGTGAAAATATTATCCAGGAAGAATTTGGAAAGATGTTTATTCCCATTTTCCTCTTAAATTGGGGATAACCTCAGAGTTTTGAGTGAAACAAGATCCCTGTTTACTTTTCAAGTGGTTTCTCTGGTTCTGAGGAAGAGGGAGTTGAAGTATCATCTAATTGGGCTGATTCCCTGCTTTCTAAGTGTAGTTACAGGTTATTAAAAACTAAAATATTTATCTGATCTGATTTGCATAGCTAAAGTTTTTTTGGCAGGTGAGACTTCTTGACCAAAGATTTCCTATCAAGATTAATTGAATGCTCATATTTACTTTCTAATGAACTCATTTGGTATTGGATCTCTGGAGGAGTTCCAGTGAATGCCTAATAGGCATCTAAAACTAAACATGCAAAGCAGGACTCTTGATTCTACTAGAAATCTTTCTCTGTTGTCCCCACTCAGTAAATAGCACCATTCTGCATCTAGTTGTCAAAACCTTAGGGTCCTCCTTGATGATGCATCATAACAAATAAAATCCATCAGCGAACTCTGTTCTCTATCTAAACTTGGTCCAGCACAGTAGCCACAAGCCACGTGTGAGTGTTTACCACTTGAAGTGTGGCTAGTCCAAATTGAGATGTGCTGTAAAGTGTAAAATGAATGGCAGATTTTGAAAACTTGGTGTGAAAAAAGTTAAATATCTCAATTTTTAAAATGTTGATTATATGTTGAAATGGTAGTATTTTTAAATATGTTGAATTAAAACTTTTATCAGACTTTTACCTTATTTTTAACTTTTTAATGTGGCAACTAGAAAACTACCATATGTGGCTGACATATTTCCATTGCATAGTGCTGAGCCCGCAACCATTTTTATTCTATTCCTGATTAACTACTACCTCAGGGACTTCTCTGATTAATTCAGAGTGCCCCTGTTGCCATCACTGAGTCCTCTCACTCTTTTTTGTTTGTTTTGATTTGTTGTTTTGCATTGATTATTGTCTGTATTTATCTCTGCATTAAAGTGTAAGCTTCATGAGCATAGGGCTGTTTTATTATATGACTATTTTTCTAGAGCCTAGACCAGTGCTCAGCATATAGAATGTGTTCAAATGCTTGTAAAAGAATAGAGAACATTCAAACCTAGTATTTCTGTAGGTTGGTTTCTAAGTAAGTTTTTCATTCACATGTAGAGTTAGACTTTGCCCACTTTATATCAGCCACATATCCTTCAGGCAACTGATTGAGAGCATACTATTCCATTCTAGTGTAAATCTACCCCAACATTGTTTACCAGATTGTCAAGTGGTTTCAGAGAGCACAGAATAATTGGTTTAGTCCAGTTCGTTTTTGTGAAATGAAGAAATGGGGTCCCGAAGAGAGAACCTCACACATCTCTTCTGGAGCACAACTCTAAAGCTCAGGGATGAGATTTATACAGAAGAGGAAACCAAATACTGGTTTAATGCAAATTCATTGTTTGAATTTACATGGTTTATAGAATCTTAAAGGCAAGTTTCCTGAATTTTGGACTTTTGATCTCTAGCAAAATAAAAGAGCTTTTATTGATAAGGAAAAGCATAAAAACAGGTGGCAATAAAGGAATACAATTTGCTTGTGTTCTACTGGCCCTGCCTTCCCTTCGCCCTTATTTTGAATGGCCACGCCATTGGATGTAGTGAAGGAAGAACCCAGCATATAGAAGATGCTAAGAGTTTTGTTGAAGCAGAGTCTCCAGTGGAGTGTTTGTAAGTAGATAATACTTAGTATTAATGGCTTGGCATTGAATTCTTGGTTACTTTGTGTAATTGCAAACTAAATTTGAAAGTCATGAGGAATGACTTAGGTTATGGCTGTCACCTACCTGGTGGGGGATTGCTTGTATTCCTTAAGACAAGGGCTAGTCTGGCAGTGGTATGTGTCAAAGACCAGAGTGTTGTGTTGTGTTTTGTTTAATATTTATTTATTTACCTATGTATCTATCTATCTGCACCGGGTCTTAGTTGCGGCATGTGGGATTTTTGTTGCAGCGTGTGGGATCTTTTTAGTTATGGCATGCGAGATCTTTAGTTGCAGCATGTGGGATCTAGTTCCCAGACCAGGGATCGAACCTGGGTCCCCAGCATTGGGAGCGTTGGAGTCTTAACCGCTGGATTAGGCAAGTCTCAAAGACTAGAATTTTAAAGGAAAGCAGTATGATTTTCATGTGACAGGTAGTTTTAAAGACCAATTCAGTGAATCCTTGTTAAATAAGGGAATACAGTTGTTAAACAAGTGTTAATTGAACACTTTATTTCAATATTTTTAGTCCTAGGAACTCAGTTTAATTTTCTCTTAAATATCAATTAAAACGGAGTTTTTATAACAAGAATTATAGTTTGTAATTTGAGCATGATACAGGAATGGCTTTGTGTAAGAAGATGCTTCCAAGAAAGGTATTTTTCAAGTTAAAATATTCACAGCATACCTCCAAAGAAATCTTGTCCTCATTTGGTTGCAGTTACCAGCAACTTTACTATTTTGCTCTTTTCCCCTTCTCCCCACCCCTATGTCAGGTAGGTGATTCTTAATAATGGAGGCCCCTTTGCAGAAAGGGGCATATTTAAGCTCATTTATCTCCTTAAATGCACATAAAAATTTCTTGACAGTCCCTTTTGTAATAAAGCTTCTCCTCAACTTAGCTTTAGGTTTATTTTCAAATAAAAACAGAAAATGAAGCATATTTAGATACTGCTTTTCATCCATTTTATTCCATCAGTATTTTAGCACCTACCATGTGCAAGATATACAGTATGTAACTAAGTCTAGATTTCTATCCCTACTGGAGCTTATTTTCTAGTACAAGGTTGACTAATAATTGCAGGCTTAGGTAAGTACTAAGGAGAAAAAAGCAGGTGCTTCTTTAGAGCTGTTCCAGGATTTTCTTGGATGTGGATTGTGGTCTTATAGATGGTTTTAGGGACCAGTTATTGCCTTGTGTTTTGTTGTAAAGGTACTCACTGCCCAACGATAAGAACTTGAATATGCCTGTGGTGTTCCTAGTATTGTGCTGGGCTGGGGCTTAGGTTACTCTTACATAGTGGTAGGAATTGTTTGGATAGACAAGAAAGGAAGGTAGCTTTTAGGCAAAGTTTTATTTTAATCGTTACACCTTTTTTAGGTGACTTCAGTTTTCATATTATTAATGGGTTTTGTTATGTGTTTGTTTTTGGAGCGCTTTTTAATGTGCGTTGAGGAATGTTGACATGTGCATCTGTTGCTTCAAATTTCCTTTCAGTATCTAACTCATTTAAATGCACTGTTTGACTCAAGGTATGATCTGTTCAAGCTTGAAGTAGCTATGGTCTCAAAAGTAGCTATGGCTCTCAAAAACAGCCTTTTTTTTTTTTTCAGTCCTTTTTAAGAAAAATCATTTTTCCAATGAAAATCAAACATAGTGTAGTTTAAAGAAAGTGAAAATCACACCAAATCATTTAACCAATATAGAAATGTTAACATATTGATGATCATTTATTTAGGTCTCTCTTTTAAATATATTCATGGCCAAATATGCATGTAGTTTTAGTTCTTACTGTTTCTTTGCATTCTTATTGCTTTTAAACTCTTTGTCCAGGGTTTGTCAATGAGGCAGATCAGATTCCGATTTGACGGGCAGCCAATCAATGAAACAGACACACCTGCACAGGTAAAAATGTCTTTGTGCTAACTAGAAAAAACAATGTTTTTTTCTAATTTTCTCAACAGCTTTGTTTATTAATTTGTGAACTTCTAGTCATTGGAATATAGTTCTTTTTTTTTTTTTTTTCTGTATGCGGGCCTCTCACTGTTGTGGCCTCTCCCGTTGCGGAGCACAGGCTCCGCGGCCATGCCTCACGGGCCCAGCCGCTCCGCGGCATGTGGGATCTTCCCGGACTGGGGCACGAACCCATGTCCCCTGCATCGGCAGGCGGACTCTCAACCACTGCGCCACCAGGGAAGCCCTGTAGTTCTTTACCAGAGTTCAAAGCTGTGTAAAATATGGCCAAAAGGGAATACAAAGAAAAAATAGATTCAGGAAGTGCCAATGGTTTTTAAATATTCAGTTATCACTTAGTAAAACTAGTAGGTCATTTTACTTTAATCCATATTTTTCTTCTTGCCAGCATTATTTGGAAAAAAATAAATAAAATTCCTGTTTGTTACTTCAGAATGTTGTTTTCCTTTTGTTTTCATTGCTGCAGCTCTAAATCATACCCAGGGTTCCCCATAAGCGATTGGTTGGCTGTTTATCCTAACCATTTTAGCCCCTCATGAATTCTCTTGTACCTATACTTCTGAACTGAAGAGAACCTAGTGGCTCTAACTGCAAGTCTCTTGATAGCTTATGTTTCACAGGGCTGTTGATTATTATTTCACAGGGCTGTTGATTATTATTTGGTGGCTTTCCAAACCCTTACTACAAAAGGTGTTGTCTGATCCCTTAATCTCTTTACTTATTACTTCAGTTGTTCTGTCACTTTGTAGGGGATCAGCTGGGCTATCTTCTTTAGCAGAAACTTTTTGTTTCTTTTTACCTTCTGAAATTCCATTTAAGACATTCTGTTTTGGGGGAAAAAACTTTGATAGCAGAAATTTTAAATTGGAGCCCTTGTCCTTTTGAATTTGTTTTATCACCCCATAAAAACTAGAAAGTGATAAATATGGTATGAGTGAAGCAGAAAATCCAGATTGTGGTTTTGTTGATAATCTTCAAAAACTTGAAATATCTATGAGTTATACTTGAGGGAAGAATATTTTGAAGAAATTTCTGTTGCTGAGTCTCTAAGAAGCAATTATAGTATGTAGCCACAAGGAGGAGCTGAATTCTCTTGATGAATGAGAGAGAGAGAAAGCTCTTGTATCCTTTGAAGGCATTTAAAGTTTCACTATAAAATTGAAAAACATTCCAGTAGTTTCATTTCAATGGATAGGCTGAAGACCAGTTTTGATGGATTTAAAAGAATAAAAAGAACCCATTATGCTAAACTCTGATGGTAATGTATTTTCTGTCTTTTGAAGCCCTCACCCACCACCAAAAAAAAGTTCTGGGACTTGTCTATTATGTTAGCTGCAAATAATTAAACCTGAGGAGGATTTGTTCAGTACTGCATTTATAAAATCTTCAAATTGAATTTGGAATTGACCTCATTTTAGTATTTGGAATTGAATTTATTTTAGAGTGAAATTGATTCATTTTAGAATTGTTCTTCCAGTACTTATTAAATAGCAGAATTGTATAAATTAGAACATCTGCTTAGCAGCCAATTTTAATAGCAGTATAATTGTTATATACTCATTCTCTTAAGTACTTCACTTTCTTTGACTCATTTAGTTCTCATAACTGAATATTCCATTTTACAAATAGAGAATTGAGACTTAGTCATTAATATTTTAATGCTTTAGTTCTACTTTTACTGTATTTGAACTTCATTAGAAACGTTCCCTTTCTTGTCTTTAGGTGCCCAAGGTTGTTGTTTTATCTTCAAAATTACCAGTTTTTAGAAAATTTTTCTTGGGTAATTATCAGCATTATAAACTGTTCCAAAGCTTGTTTACCTTACAGTGTTGCCATATGTACCAAGACCTTCCTGCTATCAACATGGTTTTATGTATAATGTGTGGGTAGTAAACTTTGCAAACTTAATAGCATTTTGAATTTTGATTTTTTTTTTTTTAACAAGTCTGTTTTTGCTCATGCTCCTCTTCTTTTTTTTTTTTTTTAACATTGTTATTGGAGTATAATTGCTTTACAATGGTGTGTTAGTTTCTGCTTTATAACAAAGGGAATCAGTTATACATATACATATATTCCCATATCTCTTCCCTCTTGCGTCTCCCTCCCTCCCACCCTCCCTATCCCACCTCTATGCTCCTCTTCTTACTACATAGTGGTAACCACTGTTTTTTGCATAGGCAAAGATATAGCCATATTATACACATACACACAAACTTAAAAATATATATACAAATATAATACTATAAGCTGTTTGCTGCCTAGTTTTAAAATTTTTTTAGCCTAATACCGTATCTAAGGGATATTTCCATTTCTGCATGTGTAAATCTACTTATTCTTTAATAATAGGTACATGGTATTTCATGTATGCATGTACTATATTTTTGGGGGTTTTGATATTTTGGTTATTTTCAGTTTTTTGCTCGTCTAAACAGCATTGCAGTGAGAGCCTTTATACACATCAGTTTTATTTTCAATAATTAAAGGTGAGATGATTTAACTTATGGACATACTCAGCTTTTTAACTTAAAAACTCAATTTTCTGTAATCTTCATAAAAAAGACGAAGTGAAAAATTATTTAAACCTAAGGCTTACGCTACTTTAAGCTGTGGGACATCTAAAATAATGAACACTGGAACTGGGTGGAACTCGTGCAGATTTTCAGGCTATTTAAGTCTGATAGTTATAAATTTTAAGAGCTAAATAACCAATGGCCGATTGTTTTTTTTCTCATTTATGCTAGTTGGAAATGGAGGATGAAGATACAATTGATGTGTTCCAGCAGCAGACAGGAGGTGTCTACTAAAAAGGGAACCTGCTACTTTACTCCAGAATTCTGTTCCTCCAGACCAAGAAGACATTCTCAATTAGAAAACTGCAATTTGGTTCCACCACATCCTGACTACTACAGTATAGTTTCTCTATTCTTTCATTTTCCCCTTCCCCATTCCTTTATTGTACATAAAGTAACTGGTGTATGTGCACAAGCATATTGCATTTTTTTTTTTTTAACTAAATGGCCAACGGTATGTTTTGATCGACATCAAATGGAGATGGAATGGGGAAAAATACTGGTTCTGTGAAGATACCCCCTTTTCTCCATTAGTGGCATGCTCATCAGCTCTTATCTTTATATTCCAGTAAGTTATTTTGCTCTCACTGTTTAACAAAAAAGAACAACATAAAAATTCTTGCATACCTTGTTCGATTGGAGAATTTTAATGTTTTTCATTTATCATTGTAAAACCAAGGACAATTTTATAACTTTTTTGTACGTAGCTGTTACATGTAGGGCAATCTGTCTTTAAGTAGGGATAAATTACTCTAAAAGAAATGAATCCTAGATAGTTTTCCCTTCAAGTCAAGCGTCTTGTTGTTTAAATAAACTTCTTGTTTAAAATGAGCTGTTTTCTTTATTCTGAGGAATATTAAATTGAAAGTTGAAGCTTAGAGAAAAACATGACCTGAATAGGCCTACTAGAAGTTACATTTCAAGGAAGAAATAAAGCTACTTTGCATTTCTGACAGACTAATGCAAAACAGGGAATAACAAAGTTATATAAATGACTAGCAAGGAATGTCCTGAGGCAGAGTGGGTGAGTACATGCAGCTAAGAAAAAGTTCTAATTTTGCTGACTCTGCTGATAAATCACTTGACCATTCTAGTCCTCATTTTGTCTGATGGTAAATACTCCCTAACCTAAAACAGTTTTTGTTCCTTATTTGAGGATGTTGAGGGACAGAAAATATTTACCTACATATACCCATTCTTACAGCCTTAAATATGCAGATCAGCACAGTTTTTAAATTCAGTTGTATGGGGAAAGATAACAACTACAGAACCAATAAACAGAATATTGGAGCTGGAAAGATATGTAAAGATTATCTAGTTCTAACCCCTGTTTTAAAAATGACAAGGCTGAGGTCTAGAGCGTTATTCGTCACATAGTTAGATGGCTATGAAACTGGAACTTGGAGGTTAGGTTTTCTGATGCCTGTTAATTGAATTTTCCAATAATGGTTTTCAAGAGACTGAATTCCCACCCTTACTGCCTAACAATGTGGCCTTTTTGGATCAAGTCCCCATGAACTATCATGCCTTGTCATTCACTGAATTCACTCTACCTCTGTTGCAATATAGTCTTTTTTACATTCCCCATTTCTATAGTGAATAAGCTTCCCCAGAGACAGCAGGAATTACGTAGGTTTTTGGCTCTGTGTATATGTGAGTTAATCTTGAATCAACTGAAGTTTTATTTTCCTATATGTGTAGTGCTGCCAACCTATTTTTACAATTTATATTGTGAAATAGTGTGAGAAGCCTGCCCCCAAGAATTCTTAGATATCGGGTAAGTACATTTCTCTTGCTCTAGGTACTATTAAGTACTGGAATTTTGTTGTCCCCAAAATTAAAGTTAGGATTGAAATTCAAGCCAGAGAACTTTATTAAGGAAGGATTCTTCAACTGGGTTCTTGTTTAACCAGAGGGAACTAATGTCATGTCTGAGCTTTCGCCATGTTGGGGGAACTTTTAAATTCTTTCATACTAGAAAAACTTTCAGTAGAATTTTAAAAGCCATAGGGAAATGTGTGGAAAAGGCACTGTTTCATAATATAGTATGTTGTAGCTTATTGATGTTTGGGTCAGTGTATAATTAAGATTTACCTTATTCTTAAGTGAACTTTTGATTGTTGCCCTTGCCTATTTCACATAAATTACCACCAAAAAGGCAAATATTTTATGGGAAAGCTTACAGAGAACTTTTTAAAAAACCCTTTGAAAATAAGCGGATGGTTGAAAATGCTGAAAGTAATTGTAGCATTTTAATTTTTTGGCTTGAGAGGGGAGGTTCAAATGATGGGAGTTACCCTGCTCTTTTGGTTAACTGTTAGGACAATTTGGCTAAACTCTTTTAAGTTTGTGCTTACATATCCGACATGTTTGTATCTTAAAAGTAGCAAATAGTACCTAAGTGAGCCCAATCTGTATAGGGAGATAAATTTTATTCTCAAGCACCTCTCATATTCATCCAAGCTAAGAGAGGCCAAAACAAAAGGTATTAGCAGCTTCCCAGAAATAGGAGTGTCAGGTTATTTGGCTCATTGTTTTCCTTGTTTATGTTCTCATAGAAATTAATTGGATGATCAGATTACATTGTGTCTAAAGGGGATGATGTTGAATGGAACAGGGGAAGAAGTAAACATAGTTTGAGGAGAAATTGGAGACTTGAGTCAAAGTGTGTAATTATGTAGGAGATTGATACCAGGAGGTCAGTAAGATAATGGAATCCCAGGATTTGAGGGCAGCCTGTTGGAAAGTTTTTTCCAAGGTCTCTCTGGGGGCCATAGGGTATTGGAGAGGGCCAGCTGTGCCACTGAGGGTTATTTTTGAGTTAGGGTGCTGCTGCTTTTGAGTATGACTAATAGTGATTCTGGATCATGGTTTTGCATTAGAATCCCCCTAGTGAGCTTTTAAAAAATAGCAGTGCCTGGGCCCTACCCCCAGAAATGTATTTTCAGAGCAATATTGAATTGAGAAGCAGCTCTGCGAGGCATTCTCACAACTCTTTAAGAGTTAAGTACGTTATGGTGAAGATTAAATGAGATAATATGTGTTCTAACTACCACATACTGAACTCTTTAAATTAATTTTAAATAAAACTTATTTTCAGCGTGAAGTAAGGGCTCTGCCGTAGGATGCTGAGGCTTCAACTGAATACCATAATCCCTACCAATTGGCCTGCATTTTCTTTTCATTTTAAAAACTGAATACAACCTTCGTCTCATTAGGTTTTTTTAAACTTTTTGGTTTGTTTGTTTGTTTTTAATTTTTTTTTGGCCACACTGCACAGCATGTGGGATCTTAGTTCCCTGACCAAGGGTCAAACCCATGCCCCTTGCATTAGAAGTGCAGAGTCTTAACCACTGGACCACCAGGGAAGTCCCTCATTAGGTTTTTATTAATTAATTAAATTTATTTTTGGCTGCGTTGGGTCTTCATTGCGGCACGTGGGCTTTCTCTAGTTGCGCCGAGCGGGGGCTACTCTTTGTGGTGGTGTGCGGGCTTATTGCGGCGGCTTCTCTTGTTGTGGAGCACGGGCTCTAGGCGCACGGGCTTCGGTAGTTGTAGCACGCGGGCTTCAGTGGTTGTGGCTTGCAGGCTCAGTAGTTGTGGCGCACGGGCTTAGTTGCTCCGTGGCATGTGGGATCTTCCCGGACCAGGGCTTGAACCCATGTCCTCTACATTGGCAGGTGGTTTCTTAACCACTGAGCCTCCAGGGAAGTCCCTAGGTTTTTAAATAAATGCTTAATACTAAGTTGTGCTCTAACGAATTTTTTAAAGGAAAAACAGAAAGGAAAGGTCTTTTTTCCTTTTTAAGGAAAAACAATCCTCAGGATTTTAATGATTCTCCAATACTTTAAGAAGCAAAGGACCCATCCACAGGATGCTTCAACATTTTGATTATCTAGGTGATGATTTGAGGGTTAGTCCTGGATGTAGTAAGAAATATATGTGTTTTATAATGAGACTTTGGGGCTTCCCTGGTGGCGCAGCGGTTGGGAGTCCGCCTACCGATGCAGGGGACGCGGGTTCGTGCCCCGATCCGGGAGGATCCCACGTGCCGCAGAGCGGCTGGGCCCCGTGAGCCATGGCCGCTGAGCCTGCGTGTCCGGAGCCTGTGCTCCGCGGCGGGAGAGGCCACGGCAGTGAGAGGCCCGCGTACCGCCAGGAAAAATCCCCAAAAAAACCATATAATGAGACTTTGTTGTGTGTAGTGGTTAACTAAGAAAAGAGTGCCTCACAGTGGAAAACAGGTTAGGAATTTAATCTATTATTTGGAATGTGGAGTGTTATTTCCCTGTAAGCAGTGACATGTGACTGTGTATGAGATCATTTTAGGATTTCCTACACCCTTAGGGCCTTCGTGAAACAGTTTAGAGTCCAAGAACTTTCACGTAATATTTGTTTTCTTTGCACTTGATACTATAAGACGGATTACGTGGCTAATTTTGCAACAAGTTACAGAATTTGGAATACCAAGAATTTTCCCATTCTTTTCTGGGCATACCCTTTTAAGTTATTTGATGTTTGTAATTTTAAAGATCTTTTTTTTAAAAAAAATTATTTATTTGAGGTCTTAGTTGCAGCACACAGGATCTTCATTGCGGCGTGCAGGCTCTTTTTTTTAGTTGTGGCATGCGGACTCCTTAGTTGCGGCATGCATGTGGGATCTAGTTCCCCCACCAGGGATTGAACCCTGGCCCCCTGCATTGGGAGCGCAGAGTGTTACCCACTGGACCACCAGGGAAGTCCCGATGTTTGTAATTTTAGTAACTGTTTTTGCAAAAGGGGCTAAATTCATCTTAGGAGAACAGGACAGATTTGTTAGACTTTTTTTTTTAACTTGTTTATTAGAGAAATAGCTTGGAATTGAAGAAAGAAGACAAATTTAAATCACATAATCTCATTCAGCTCTTAGTCTGAGAGGAGGAGGAAATAATGGGGAAATATGAATCATGCTCTCCCTCTCTGCAGTTCAGAGTGACTAGAGGGGCATATCAGACCATAGTACAGAGTATGTGCCATTTTGTTTATCTTAACTTTGGGTAAAGAGAAGGCAAGAATATGACAGAACCATTTTCCATATTTGAGACATCTAGGTTGGTTCATTTGTCTTATTTAATGGCAAATGAATTTTTAGAGAAAATGAACTCCTTGGGTTGTTTTTCTCTTGGTGGCATTGATCTGCCTTTTTTTCTTTTTTTTTGTGGTGAGGATGCAGCTAAGAAAAGAATGGACAGATGCATACTAAATTTGGCTCTAGGAGTGATGGATGCAGAATGTATGTGTGAGTGATGTACTTACGGGGCACCCTGCAATACTGGGGTTGAGAAGTGAAACTTGTTAGAAATACTTGGGCCGTTCATTAATTAAGTCACTTACCCAAGTTCAGAAGCACATGACCAGTATTTTCTTTTAATAATAAGGAATAGAAAACATTAAGAGTCTGTATTAAACTGTGGTTGAACATAAGTAACTGCTATACATGTAGGTCAAAAATAGTCAAATATCTGCCATGTCATATGGGTCAACCTAATATGTGTGTATTGGATCACAGCGGAAGACACTGTTCTAAGAGGTTGGTTCAAACCTGACTGCAGACTCTAGGTAGAGTAAATTCCAATAAGGATGCCATGTAGATTGCCCATTTCCTCTGGCATTTTGGAATAAATAGGGGCAGGTTGAAATTATGGGGGACTCGGAACACTTTGCCTAGCAGTGGAAAGCTGGTAACATTCAAGACAAACACATGCTTGAGAATGAAGAGATGATATGTTAGTGCACTTTTTTGTGTTTGGTTAAAATTTATTTATTGTCCTTAGGCACAAATCATGAAGAAC